ACCCACGTCTTGGTTGTTTTTAAAGCCCGGGCTCCGGGGAAGGGGGGCTCCCAGCTGGCAGGCTGGGTTTCCTTTTCTGTTCGCTATCCTGGAGTCAGAGACGGCCATGGGGCAACCGCCCGTGCCCAGCGGCGGCTGCTCCGTTTGCACAGGGAGGAGCGGGCACACCCCCGCTCCGGCTCTCTGGAGTTCACACAGGGAAAGTTTTGGTGGGTGGGGCTCGGGGGCCCCACGTGAGCTGCAACTGGCCCAAGTCGGGAACTGCCGCACTCCGGGCGGAAGCGGCCGTGCCCGGCTTTGTGCCCCGGCCGGGGGGATCCGCTGCACGGGGCCCCCACCCCACTAGCTCTGGGCCGGCGGGGGGGCCAGGCGCCAGCATGGCCGGGGAGAGCCGGCTGGCGGAGCGCGCGGGGAGCTACTGGCAGGACCCCCTGGCCATGGCCATCGCCCCCAGCAAGCCGCTGGCCGGGGCCCAGGCCCGCCGGGGCAGCAGCAGCAGCCGAGGCCGGGCGCTGAGCGTGGTCTTCGTGCTCAACGAGGGCTCGGGCGAGTCGCTGCCCCTGCGCTGCCTGCGGGACGCCTGCCGGGAGGTGCGGGCGGAGCTGCAGACCGTCCCCTTCGGCACCCTGGCGCTGGGCGAGCCCGGCTCCATGGACCGCTTCTACAACGCCGGTGAGATGAGCTGCGCCCGGCCTCAGCCCAAGGGGCTTCGGGCGCGGGCGAAACAGGACGAGCAAGTCGCGCAGGGGTGGTCACTCCCCATTTCTGTTTCTGAGCCCCCAGCCTGGGAGCTGCTGCACCCCCAGGGCTGTCAGGGGTGGGGGCGAGGGAGGGGAGAGAGCAGGGCTGCTTCTGGGCATGCCCCCCGCCCCACAGCCAGCTGCTGGCAGATGAAATGGGCCTTCTCCTTCCTTGAAATCATCCAGCCCCTGGAGGCTGTTATCAGCTGGGGGGGTTGTACACCACTGACCTCTACCAGGTGGAGTGGGAACTGCTCATCTGTGTGTCATAGCCCCCCTATTATCTTCCTGTGGAGATTCTTCTTTAGCTCACATGGCCCGAGCCTGGCCTTCCGGAACAGAGAGCTCCGAGCTCCATCCCAAGCGTTGCTGTGAAGTCCCTCGATAGTGATCGATTCTGTGTAATATTTAGCACCTTCCATTGCTAACGCCCACAAACAGCCTTGCACAGGGGCGCTGGGACAGTTTTTGTAGTGGGGGTGCTGAGAGCCATTGAACCCAACTGTATACGATAGAAACCACTTCAAGCCAGGGGTCGCGGCAGTGCCCCCGGCACCCCCTACTTCCAGCACCTATGATCTTGCGCTATTAAAATGAGGTTTGTCTCTATTCTGTTACCCTCATTTAACAGGTGTTTGAATGTTTGCAGAGAGGCTAAGTGACTTGCCCAAGGAGTGATCAGTGAGCAAAGGTGTGTGAGCAGCGGGATTAGAACCCAGCTCACCTGACTCCCTGTGCTGTGCTCTAAGCACCAGACCATCCTGCCTCTGTTTCCTCCTCTTTATTGACCTGGTTACTGTTTCCCTGCCATCTTGGGGGAAGAATGGCAAACCCTCATTGCTTTATTACACAGATCCCGGCAGCTCCGATTGGTCTCTGCTCAGTTAGCATTGCGGGATGGTGCTGCCTGAAAGCAGACAAGAAAATATCCCTTCCTAACTCACAGTCCAGGAGAGAGTGTGTGTGTGTGAGTGAATTTAGTGGTAGGGTGACCAGATGTCCCAATTTTATAGGGACAGTCCCGATTTTTGGCTCTCTTTCTTATATAGGCTCCTATTATCCCCCCCACCCCCGTCCCGATTTTTCACACTCGCAGTCTGGTCACCCTATTTAGTGGCGATGAAAGCTACCAGGAGAGATGCAACATAAACACTGGCAGTGCCAACTACCCCAATCCTGACCAGGCACGGGATGTCCCACTCGGTGTCCGAGGGCTTCCAGTCTCAATGGATAGAGCCCCGCAAATCCGCACATGTCCACAGACCCCGTGTGCGGATCGGATGCGGATACCAAATTTTGTATGCGCGCAGGGCTCTGTCAATGGACTAATCGTTCCCTGGCCGCTGTGCTGCGGCTACTGGGTGTGCCACTTTCTCTGGACTGCGGATTTTGCTCTGGTGTTTATTTTCACACATCGGAGAAGCGGCTGGAGCATCTCCCTTCCCTGGCAATTTTTCAGTCCAGAGGGGCTGTTTTTCTAAAGGAGATTTTCCAGATCGACCAGGAGCCAATTCAGGGAAGTTCTCTGGCCTGTTATGCAGGTGGTCAGACTGGGTGTCCCTTCTGGCTTTATAATCGATGAATGTCTTTTAAATCTGCTATGGGGGGAGGCGGTTTTATTCCAGCCTACTAGACTCCTCACCACAGGGGTGGCGAGCTCTGTGTACGCCCTTCGAGGACAAATCAGACGTGAGAGCCTGGCCCTTTAAGAAGGGCTCCGGGGTCAGAAGCTACTGGAGCAGAAGGATGTCAAACGATGTGGAAATAACTTGTGCAGTGTGGTCACTGACTTCCTGTCGGTCTGGGGTTTCCTCACCCGACATCTGTGATGCTCCCGATTCCTCTGGAGCAGAGGAGGGACCTCAGCCACCCGCATCCCGTGGCCGGGGGGAGTGGTGGCTTGGATTTGTGCCCTTGGCAGTGGGTTGGGGGAAAAGATTCCTCCCCTCCCCCTAGGAGAGGTTAGGCGGGGGGGATGTTCTCTGCTTAATGTGATTTATTCTATCTGAATGGTCCCATCTCACCTCCAGCCTCTGTCGCCTCTATTCTGGCTTCAACGCAGGCAGCCGGGCTTGGGGGAGGAAACACTGTTTTATCGATAATGCCAGGAGGTTGGCTGGCAGCCTTGTGTGACAAAGAGATCCCAAGGTCAGAGTCTGGCTAACCCACGGGCAATGCTCCTGGCTGGGTGAATGAGTCGGTTGTTCTGGCGTGTGCCCTCCAGCACCACGCTGCTGGCCAGAGTCACTAACTGGAGCGGGCACAGGGACAGGGGACTCAGGAGTCCTGGGTTCTGTCCCCGGCTCTGCTACTGACCTTGGATAAACCATGCCGGGGCCTGGCTTTTCAAGAGCTGCTGAGCACTTGTGACTCTGCTTGACGTCAACAGGAAGTGGGGGTCCTTGGCACCTCAGGAAATGGGGCCCTTAACGTCTCCCTGCCTCAGTTTCCCCTAGTGGTGCTATAATACAGCTGGACCTCAACGTGTGGGCAGGTTGCGAGGGTTGAAGTGCTGCTGTTTTTTGTTACCCCTCTGATGGTGAAGCGCAAAGTGGGTTGTTGCATGGTCACTGGGGGTGCCTCACAGTATCTGCGATATTCGCACCCGGTTCTGTTCTAGCTGTGGGTCTGGGGAGGCGTCTGGCTTTTCCTGGCCCACTGAAACAGTCTGTAAAACCTGCCCACGCGTATGTGTTGCAATGATCAGCCCACCTGGCTACCCCAGGGGAGATGGGGCTGGGCCTTTCATAGAATCTCAGGGTTGGAAGGGACCTCAGGAGGTATCTAGTCCAACCCCCTGCTCAAAGCAGGACCAATCCCCAAACAGATTTTTACCCCAATTCCCTAAATGGTCCCCTCAAGGATTGAACTCACAACCCTGGGTTTAGCAGGCCAATGCTCAAACCACTGAGCTATCCCTCCCCCCCTGCGTGGGGTTCGGTGCCCTCTGTCCGCTATCGCTCCGCTCTCCTGGAGGGAGTGTGAGATGGACGGAGAGATGAAGCAGTGACACTGCGGCCTGCAGGAGCCCTTGGCTGGGGATGCATCCTCCTTCCTGTGCTGAGTAATTGGGCCTGGTGGTTTATGTGCAATAGCCAGGACAGGCAATGGGATTTGCAGGGCTCCATGTTGCAGAGCATGGAGGAGAGCAGTGGAGCTGCACTGAGCGGTCTCTGGCCAGGAGAGGTAGTGATCGGGCTCAGGGGAGGGGATTGAGGGAGAGGAAAGGCCGTGAGCGATGTAGGCTGGTGTCTCATGGTCCCTTGTTCCTTCCCCGCAGATGTGGCCGTGGTGGAAGTGAGCAACTCCTTGTGCCAGCCCTCGCTCTTCTACCACCTCGGGGTGCGGGAGAGCTTCAGCATGACCAACAACGTCCTCCTGTGCTGCCACACCGACCTGCCGGACCTGCAGGCCCTCAAGGTGGGTGGGGCGGTGCCCCTCTGTCCCGCAAGCCGCGTCCGAGCTCTTAGCCACCGCGTGTGCGAGAAATGCCCACGTTAGCCGGGAAATGTCTATGTGGGAGATGGAAGCGTTAGAGAGGTAAAATCAGGTGGTTAGAGCAGCGGACTGGGAGCCAGGATGCCTGGGTTTGGCCTCTGCTTGGCCCCCTCATGTTGCCTCTCTGTGCCTCAATTTCCCCACTTGTAAGTCCGGAAGGGCAATACTTCCCTCCCTCAGAGGGCCGAGGTCTTGAGATAGGAAGCGCTAGATGAATGCAGCTCCCCTAGTCCTTTGCAAAAGCTGCGTGGGCTACTTTGACTGTGAGCTCTCTGCTGAGCCCTCGGCACTCACCAGCAACTTGGACTCAGCGGGATTCTCGGCTGGGAGCTGGCGGGGTAGCAGAATAGGAGGAGGCTGCAGACCCCTTGCAACGGGGCGTTATCCCTCCTCATCATCCATCTCCTGTGAGAAGGAAATGCCTGGGCCTAGAATGTGACATGAGGAAACTGGCAAGAGCAACCTCAGCTGATCCAAACACTGGACTTTTTGAACTTGCTGCCTATTACTTGTATTCCGGTAACACCTAGAAGCTCTAACTGAGATCGGGGCCCTATTGTGCTGGGCACTGTACAGGAGCATAGGATACAGTCCCTGCCCCACCGAGCTGACCGTCCAAACAGACCACACCCAGGGTGGCGGAGAGAGAGTATTTTTCCTTTTTTTTTTTTTTGTTACAGGAGGCCTACAGAGACAAAGTGACTTGCCCAAGGTTCACCTGGGGAGTCAGTAGCAGAGCTGGGAACTGATTGCAGATCTCCCGGGGCCCAGTTTGGTGCCTTAGCCCCAAGCCCATCCTTCCTCTCCTGGGTTAAAATGAAGCCTGTACAAAAAGCACCGTTCTGAACCGGAACTGAACAGCTAATCTAAATGGCAGCAAAACGAATGGGATTTTGAACAAAGATTATCCGGATCCTGGGGCTCGAAGCATTTTGTTTCTGGTCATTGGTCAAGCGCTTAGGAAAGCTTACTGGCTCTGAATGCATCTGTTCTGGGCCACTCCAGCGCATCTAGCCCTCGTGGGCTGTTGGGAATCTTAAAATCCCCGTCTTTCCAATTACCCTTATGCTTTGTTTCCAGCATGGAAACCGCTGCTGCAGTCTCAGGAACCATGAGACAGGAGCGCTTTCCGCTGCCCCAAGCCCCGGAGCCTGGCCTTTCCCTGGGATAAAGCCCCCATCTCTAACCCTAGCAGTGGGGGAGATCTGCTGCAGCAGTCACCTGACTATAGAAACCGGGTGCAAGACAGCAATCGGCATGATGTGATTTTGAGCGTCTCTAGCGTATGGGGACCTCTCAGAGATAGTCATGAATCCTCTGTCCTGGGAATAAACGATTAACAGTGGGGGAGGGACAGGCCAAGCCGCCCCTGCTTCAAATCAGATGCATCTGTTCTGAGAGTCTCTTTTTGTGTCACTTTCACCCTATCACCTTTCAGTACCTCGGCCCAGTGCTGGCAACTAGCCCTGCTGCTTTGGGAAAAATTGGACCTGAAATGTCAGCTCAGAAGAGCCCCACGTGTTCCCATGCCCTCCCCTCCGTAGGCAGTACTGACACAAGTGCTGTATTTCAAGTGCGGTTCTGACCCACGCAGGGATGAAAGGGCACTCCAGTGCCAGGCCACGGAGGGGGGGAAGCATACAGCAAATGGGTGATCTGCTGCTAGGCTGTAAAATACAGACTGCCTCCTTTCCAGGCCCTCCACCCAGTGACCCTGAGCCAGCAAAATGTTAAAGGTCTTGTTTTTCCCAGTAATGAAATGATCCCTACTAACGACCTATTCTGCAAACGCCCTCTGCTTCCAAAGTTGGTGCTGCACTCGTCCAGGGAGAAGGTTCAAACCCAGCCAGATCCCACCAGAAATAGATGCGTTTTTCCATTCCCCTAATCTCTGTTGCAGTTTGGATGTTGGCAAGAGAGAACTGAGCCCGAGTGCTGGGCCCTAGTGAATTTCTCTGTCTCCGTGTGTCCTCCTGCTGCTCATCGCCATGGTGTCTCACCACCTACCATGTAAAATAGATTCCCAAATTGGCTCGTTTCAGTGGCTAACATGCTCCGTGTCAGTTGATGGACAGCTAAATACCCACCCTCTCTCTCTCTCTCTCTCTCTCTCTCTCGTACGTACGTACGTACGTA